GGGTATCTTTTTATATGCTTATTAGCTACTAGAATTTTTTCTTTTGTGAAGTGTGTTTCCATGTTCTACTCATTTTTAACTGTTGTGGTTTTTTTTTTTATTAGTTGCAGTAGTTTAGATATTCTAGATGCAAATCTATTGTCAGATACATGTATTACGAGTATTGTTCTAGCCTTTTTGTTTTCTCATGGTGTCTTTTGATGAAGTTTTTATTAATTTAGGTGAAATATAATGCATTATTTCTTCATCCTTTGTGGTTAGTGCTTTCTTTTTTCTTTTGGTTTTTTTCCCAGCAATCCTTGCCTAACTCAAGTTTACAGAAATATTTATCTGTGTTGTTTTCTAGAAATGTTACAGTAGAAGTTTAATGTTTAGGTCTACAGTTGTCTTAAATTACATTTTTACTATTGGGAGATAGTGGTTGAAATTGACATTTTTTTTCCATATGTTTGTCCCAGTTTTCCAGACTATTTGGTGAAAGACTTACCATCTCCACTGAATGGCCTGGGTGTGACTTTGAGGGAAAGGCGAATCTATTTCTGCACATTCTTTTACCTTCCATTAACCTATTAGTTTATTATTCTGCCAGTATCTTTCTGACTTGATAATTGTAGCTTTATAGCAACAAACAAATGACTAAATGAAAAAAAATGAAAAATAACAGTATTTTCCCCTCATTTCTGCTTTCAGATGTGTCAGATTTGGAGACACACCCTTGGTCTCTCTTTAAGGATGTAGGATAAAAGCTGTAGCTAGCTGTCTTACTGACATTTTTATGCCTACTAACCTAAAATTCCAGTTACAGTGGGTACATCACCAGAGTCCTAAAATATAACAAAATATATTTTAGCCCACTACTTTATTGTTGCATTACAGGTAATGTCAGTGGTCTCCCTGGTATAGACAAATTGTACCTTCCTCATATTACGCTTTGACTCAGTCAATTCAAAATTGTATAATTTATCCCACCTTCAAGTATGAACTTCTGTAAACTTAAATATTTAAGTTTTAAGTGACATATTTCCCATTATAAATGTGCTTACAGCGATAACAATACCTACACACAAAAGGGTTATTATTAGTTCACACAATAGAAAAATCCAGGAGTAAGAGAGAGAGTGTCAGGAGGATCTATATTCAAAGAATGTCATCAGTACTTCATCAGCCTTCTCCTGTCTCCACTACCCCCTCCCTCCATCCATCTCTTAACTCTTTTATTCTGTGTTGGCTCGATTCTTAGGCGGGCTCTAACTATACAGAGACCCATGGCAGGTCTTGACTTAGGAATTTCACTTGTCTTTCCAATGATATCTGAAAGAATCTTGGGCTTAGCTGGATGCAGTGATGTGTGCCTGTAGTTTCAGCTACTTGCGAGGCTGAGGCTTGAGGAACCTTTCAGCCTAGAAGTTTATGACAAGTTGATTGCAACATGGTGAAACATTCATCTCTAAAAAAATCAAAAATTAAAAGAGGATTGGGATTAACTCACTGTACCCTAGTTCAGGTGCAATCATATGCCTGTCCCTGAACCTCTCATTATAAGTCTGTTTGGATATAGATTACTTTCCATCCCTCAGAGCAAGATGGTTTGGAGTCAGATTTACCAAAATTGTTTTTGTAAAGAAAAATAGAACAGTAATGTAATAAAAAGGAAAAATCCATGCTGAACAGACAAAACATTAAATTAGATAATCATACTGAAGTACTTATTTTTAAAAGAAGTCTTATGCCAAATATTTTTTCCTCTATTCTTTGCCTTCTACCACAGAACAAGAAGATGACACGTTTCTTTTTGCAACATAATTCAATGGGTTTCTGATATAAAATGAATCCTCAGAGTTTTCCTGAAAACACTGAAATCATATCACCTTTGTCTTCTCAAAACTTCTGACATGTGGTAGAATATGAAACTGTGATATTTTGACTGTTCAGTAATGTTTCCTGGCCATTGATGAGAGATCCGTGAATGCAATACCATACTATAATTAGTTCTATTCTGAGTTTCGATAGTTTATAATATAATTTCTCTGAAAGAAATTTTAGATCAAATAATTGGCATTCTGATTGCTGCAAGTATACTTCATTTTTATAGTGATTAAAAAAGTCCATTTAGCTGATTTGTAAGCCTTGTTAGAACTTGCTGTTAGAAACTCATCAGACTTCTTAGGAGAAGGGTCATTTTATATGTGTGGAGATTATGGAGAGTTTAAATCTTTTTGAAGTTATATTTTAGTTTATGATGCAAATCACCTATGGTTCACATATAAATTAACTCCAACGTTACCTCAAGGTGAAGCAAACTTGGTCTAACATCACCTCTTGACCTCTGGATAAAATGGTTTTATATTTCAGTGGACCAATGTGACTACAACAATACATCACTGTCCAAATAATATATCACCACCCTCATAATCTAAGGGTGATCTTCTAACATAATGTACCTCAATAACCAACTTTATTTGGTTTTAAGAAATCACCTTCCTAATTTCATAGTCAAGGCCTGAGAGTCACAAAACAATGTGAAAATCACTCCAGAAGGTGCATTAAAAAGTTCATTCTACTTGGCCAGCATTTAGCTCAGACACTAGCAAACTCAATTATTCTTTTCTTACTGGTAAGGTTATTTCACCTTAGCCTTTTCCAGCTTTATAACACAGCACAATATAACAGAACTCTCTGGAGCACTAATTTCTCTCATTGCCATTAGCATCTCTTTTTTCAGCTTTCCCCCTGCTTGGCCCCCATATCTGCTTTCACGGTCACCAATTATATTGAAAGAGTCCTTTGCTTCTCTATTGTTTTTAATAACATCTCTTTGACTCATTCAACCTCTCTCTCTCTTTTTTTTTCTGTTTCTTTCCAACTTTTAGGTTCAAGGCGTTCATGTGTAGGTTCGTTACATGGGTAAATTGTGGGTCATGGGGGTTTGGTGTATAGATAATTTTGTCACCCAGGTAATCGGCCTAATACGTGATAAGTAGTTTTTTAATCTTCACCCTCTTCCTGCTTGCTACCCTCAAATAGGCCCCCGTGTGTATTGTTCCCTTCTTTATGTCCATGTGTACTCAGTGTTTAGCTCCCACTTGTAAGTGAAAACATGTAGCATGTGGTTTTCTGTTCTCGTATTGGTTTGCCTAGGATAATGGCCTCCAGCTTCATCCATGTGGCTGCAAAGGCCATGAACTCATTTTTTATAACTGCAGAGTATTCCATGGGGTATAAGTGCCACATTTTCTTTATCCCGTCCACCACTGATGGGCATCTAGGTTGATTCCATGTCTTTGCTGTTGTGGATAGTGCTGTGACAAACATACATGTGCATGTGTCTTTATGATAGAACAATTTACATTCCTTTGGGTATATGTACCCATTAATGGGATTGCTGGGTTAAGTCTGAAGAATCTCCAGAATGCCTTCCACAGTAGTGGAGCTAATACTCATTCCCACTAGCAGTGTGTAAGTGTTCCTTTTTCTCCACAACCTCACCAGCATCTGCTTTTTTTTTTTTTTTTTTTTTTTTTTTTTTTTTTTATAATGAACTTTTATAATTGGCATGAGATGACATTTTATTGTGGTTTTGATTTGTCTATCCTTAATGATGAGTGGTATTGAGCATTTTCTCACATGCTCATTGGCTGCATGTATGTCTTATTTTGAGAAGTGTCTGTTTATTTAAAATTGCCCATTTTTTGATGGGGCTTTTGGTTTTTGCTTGTTGATTTGAGTTACTTATAGATTCTTGAGATTAGACCTTTGTTGGATTCATCGTTTGCAAATATTTTCTCCCATTCTGTACATCATCTGTTTCCTCTGTCCATAGTTTCTTTTGCTGTGCAGAAGCTCTTTAGTTTGATTAGATCCCAGTTGCCAATTTTTGTTTCTGTTGCAATGGCTTTTAGAGTTTTTTTGTCATAAAGTCTTTGCCTGGGCCAATGTCTAGAATGGTATTTCCCAGATTTTGTTCCAGGGCCTTTTTAATTTTAGGCTTTCCATTTAAGTCTTTATTTTGAGTTGATTTTTGTACATGGTGAAAAGTAGGGATCCAGTGCCAGTCTTCTGCCTGTGGGAGCCAGTCAGCCCAGCAGAATTTGTGGAATAAGGAGACCTTTCTCCAGGGCTTGTTTTTGTTGGTTTTGTTGAAGATCAGATGGTTGTACTTGTGCAGCTTTACTTCTGGATTTTCTAACCCGTTCCATTGGTCTATATTGTCTGGTTGCGTAATAGTATCATGTAATAACCTGCTTTTGTTGCTACAGCCTTGTAGTATAGTCTGAAGTCAGGTATTGTGAAACCTCCAGCTTTGTTCTTTTCGCTTAGGTTTGCTTTGGCCATTAAGACTCTCTTTTGGTTCAAAATAAATTTTAGAATATTTTCTTCTAATTCTGTGAAAATGTCACTGGTAGTTTGATAGGAATAGCATTGCATCTGTAAATAGCTTTGGGCAGTATGCCCATTTTAACAATATCGATGCTTTCTATCCACGAGCATGGAATGTTTTTTCATTTGTTTGTATTTTCTCTGGTTTCTTTGAGTAGTGTTTTGTCATTCTCGTTGTAGAGGTCTTTCACCTCCCTGGTTAGTTGTATACCTATGTATTTTATTCCTTTTGTGGCTATTGTGAATAGGATTGCATTCTTGATTGATTTAGCTGTCAGCTTGGAAGTTACTGGTATATAGAAATGTCACTGATTTTTGCAAATTGATTTTGTATCCCAAAACTTTGCTGAAGTTGTTTATCAGTTCTAGGAGCCTTTGGTCAGAGTCTATGGGGTTTTCTAGGTATAGTCTTATATTATCTATGAAAATAGATAGTTTGACTTCCTCTCTTCCTATTTAGTTGCCTTTTATTTCCTTCTCTTGCCTGGTTGCTCTGGTAGGACTTCCAGTACTGTGTTAAATAGGAGTGTTGAGAGTAGGCATCCTTGTCTTGCTCTGGTTCTCAAGGGGAATCTTTCTAGTCTTTGACCATTCAGTATGATTTTGGCTGTGGGACTGTCAGAGATGGCTTTTATTATTTTGAGGTATGTAGTTTCAATGTTTTATTTGTTGAAGCTCTTCTTTATTTTTATTATATTAAGTATATGCCTAGATATTAAAAATGACTGGAAGACATCTTTTTCGATGAGATGTTCACAAGGTGAATGGGATTGCATTCTTGATTTGGCTATCAGCTTGGAAGTTAAGAAATGTTACTGACTTTTGCAAATTGATTTTGTATCCCAAAACTTTGCTGAAGTTGTTTATCAGTTCTAGGAGCCTTTGGTCAGAGTCTATGGGGTTTTCTATGTACAGTCTTATATTATCTATGAAACATAGATAATATACAAGCTCTTCCTCTCTCTATTTCTCCCCGTCACCTCTGTATCAGCCTTTACAGATTATGATATTTATATGCAAGGAATGAGGAGCATTCTACATTGACAGTGCTCCTTAACACAAACTCTGTTTACCAGTCAGAAGAAAATAAGAGGAAGGGCGCCCAGTAGCAAACTGGTTGTGACCCATACACTCCAATGTGATGGGCTCCTCAAATGGAAGATCCCCTTCTAAGTGAAGGGCACAGAGCAAGCAGAGATTCTCAAATGTCTCTTGAGACCCACAAGGACTATGGCTCTCCTACTTCCAATGCCATGATCCCTGTCCTAGTGGCTGCTTTGGGGTTTTCCCAGGCTCTAACACAAAGATTCCAAAGATATGTCTTTAGTATTGTTTCTTCTTTGACATCCTGAATTTCCCAAGCCCCACCACTGATAAGGCACACTTCGCTCCTTTCCTTTTCTATCCAATATTGCTTTTTTGTGCCTATAGCTCTTAGTCAACATATTGGATTGGTTGTCAAATATCTGACAGGAACTATATTTGCTTGTTCATGATACTGTATTTTCTTACTGCTATTTGTAGGCATTTTCATTACCTTACTAGTTAACTTGATTGTTTCTCTATTATGTGTGATTATCCATACAAGAAGCAGTACAGAGTAGTGACTTAAGACCATAACCTTAGTGGCAAACTGACTATAATCAAGTTGTATCTTCAACCAGTATCAACCGTGTGACCTAAAAGAAACTATTTAACATCTCTGTGCTTCAATCTCCCAGCCACAAAATAAAGAGAATTTATATTGCTGAATCAAAGGATGTTGAAAAGACTCAGGCTCTACAACCCTTGTTTAAACCCTCTGAGACCAGATGTACCCTAGAATAAGAAATTTTTGTTTTTTAAAGAAAGATTATATGGAGTATATATTATATATTAAACAATACCTCATAATAGAGTTTGGGAAACATCTCATAGTCAAACACATCAAAAATTCTACAGGGAAATATAGAAATATTTCAACTAAGTTGAATAAATAAACACAAGAAATAGCTGCACAGCAGTTCAGGTCAAGTTCTGGCATCACACAAATTCAGGTACAGTCAGGTTTTGTTGCCAAATGAGTTATTGAAGAAAACAAGTTTCAGAGCTTGAACCACATGAGGATATTGTTTAGCCAAGTGTTTGACACATGTAAGTTCCCACCAAAATGTTGTCTATTATTATTATCAGTGAAAACATTTCTTGAGTGCCTATCGCGTGTTATTTATTTTTACATATACTATTGTTCCATGGAACTTGTTAGTTAAGGTCTGAGACTCTCATTTCTTCTCATCAGGCTCTGATTGATAATATTTTCTCTTTTTAAGACTGTGAGTGACATCTTCAGAACTTCAGGAGACAGAATGTCAGAAGAGTTTCCTAGCATCCCTTTATTTTATCCTGTAAATTACTAATATTCAGATGTGGTTCATGCCCATTGCTAATCCCACGGTGGAAAAGACTGCAAGCAGAATGGGAAATACCTGCCAATCTCATCCTCGCTGCTCACCCCACCCCACCCCTCCTCAGTAAAGAATGATTCCTAGCCTCTCAAGTCTCTTCGCCATATCTGGCTTCCGCACCTGAGGTGGCCCATCTGTCTCTGTTGTCCTTGAGATGATGGACAGTGTGGACATCCAATTACTGCCTTTTGCTTGCAGTTTGAGCCACTGAGATCTGGGCATCCCATATCTTCTACTGGATATTATATAATAGAAAGTATGCAGAAAATGTCATCTCAAGTTACAAGACATATAAGCCACAGAATGCTCCTTGCTCTTGTTTTCTTTCTCCTTAAATAAATTTTCTCCTGATGCTCAGGCAGATGAAGGCAAGATCCATCCTTGGCTAGTGACAGTTTACTGAATCGCTATGTTTGCAGATGAACCTTATTCTAAGCCAACGGGCCCAGGCCTTGATCTTCAAAGCACGCCTCATATGTTTTAAACCCAAACTTACTAAAATCCTGTCTAAATGATAGTAGAAGTCACCATAATTTTCTGCAGGAAGATTTCTGTAAGTACTCTGAGCCCTAGTTTTCATTTTTACTGTTTGATGATTATAGAATTAATAAAAGTAATATATAATTTTTTTGTGTAAGTAGGCTGGTCCCTGATTTTCAATTGTTCATTGTTATATAATCACAAATTAAATATAAGAAATTATGTATGTATACACACATATGCTATATGTACAAATATCTATCGATAGATAGATAGAAATAGATACAGACATTTCCTGTAAAAAGGCTAAGATTTGTCCACCCCCCCACCCCAAATCTTTCTTCAGGGCACATCTCATTTATACACTCATTGAAATGTGAAATTCACTCAGGAGGCCACTTGATTTCTAGCCTAACATTCCTAACATTCGAAACATTTGATACAGTGGTGCCCTTTAGGATCACTGTGAATGGAACCTAAATTCTGTAGCCATTACTCCACAAAGTATCAGGCTATGAAACAAGCTCTTACAGGAAGGCAGTTTTTCAAGCTACATTATGGTGCTTTTAAAGGGAAGACAATTCTTAATGAGAAAATGAGCTTCCTGAAGCTCCTGGCTCCAAGGTCAGCTCTGCACACTTGCTTTCTTGGTTGGCAGCAAATCTGTTAAGGGACATTCCTGGGAGCCCATTCTGTAAAAGCTCCAGGATGAAATAGGTTGGCAGGTGATTCTCTGGAGCTTCAGTTGGGCAACTTTATAATTCTCAGACAGATTTCTTCTAAAGCTGTTCCCACACAGCAATGCCCTAGTACCTCAGCTTCTCCCCCTGCTTCCTACCAACCACACAAGGAGAAACTGGGTTGCTAAGGAACCTGTTGTAATAACACCTGACGGAACTAACACTTGTCAGCTAATAACAGTTTAGTGTGAATAAACTTATCAGAATCTTCCCAAGTGAATTAATACTTTGCCAGCTTCTGAAGGGCTTGGGCCCTATTTTTATTTATCTTTATTTCTATTCACATCTAGCACAGTGCTAAGCAAATGTTTGCGGAGTGTCAGCTGAGGTCAGCCTACTCCACCATATTGCTCTCAGCTGGCTCTTCCAAATTGGGAATGTGGAGGAGGAAAAGGATCTTTTTCTAGTTGCTGGGACTTGTTGCTTGAGACAAAGCTGTAAGCAGTACAAAGATGCGCCAGCTTTTAGAGGAGACCTGGAGGGTGATAGAACTTACCTGCTATGATTAGGTGAGAAGGGGGAAAATAAAGCTTCAGATTCAGAATCATTCACCAAATGCTAAGATGGGTCTTGTGAATACTGCTGCCTAAAGCATAATGGAATAGCTCTAAAAATGACTGCCCGTAAGTCTTTTGGAGTCTCTCTAGGTGGTCTCCATTAGTCGATGGTGTAATTCAGGTGTGACTGCCCCACCTCCAGAAGAGTGGTTAAATGGAGCTTTGATAATAGCATATAGAAATCAAGATTGGCATCATTTTGTTCATCCCACTTCCCATGCACCCACATTTAAGGCTTCCTGGTAAGCTACAATGAACATTTCAACATTATGAGAAATGGAGATGACACTATAATGCAATTACATGTAATTTATGGAATGCAGAATAATAACATCCTGTATACTAGGACAAGTAAGAGGAAGAGAAAATCTAATCTGGTTTGCCAAGCCTCCTTCCTTGCTACCTCTTTAGCATTAACCAAGTCTCACTGTAACATGTATTATAAGGAGATGAATTCACTGGTGGTGTTCTTTGTTATTTCACTTTCACCAGAAATGTAATTAAGAAGCAAATCATATTACCTTGATGACAGAGACAAAGTATGTCAGAAATGGCATTATTACTACTTAATTACAGAAAACACAGGCTTCATTCCCACTTCTAATTTATCACAATAGTGATAAAAGATCTGACTGCTCCTAAACAGTAAATTTAAATGAGAGTTATTGGCACTTTGTCAGTGATGAGCAGAACTAAAATTTTCACTGTTACAGAATTAATTATAGAATGTATGATGTATCTTCACTGCTTTTGATGGTAGTAGCATGTGTATCAGCAACAATCCATGGTGCCCTGTTTGGAAGAACTTTTTTTCTCAAGTTATTATTGTCCTATGATTTCACAGGAGAAACTTACAAGTCACGAAGGTGATAAGTAGCATTTTTGATTTAAGAAAATGAGAGAGTCCCAAGAGGTACGAACTTCATGCAGTTCAGATTTATACACCACTTCCCAGGAGGGAAAAAATCACCACCCACTTAATTTCACGTGCCTCCTCACCCTGACCCTATGGGGCACCATGGAATCACTGGTGTATACTGTCACTTTCTCACTCTGATGAGATCTGCTGTAAGATGTACCCTTTATGTTCTTGTTCAGGCCAGACACAGTTGCCAACATCTGTCTGGAAGAGCTTCAGACGTACACTTCCCACCTTGTATGCTACTTTCTCCTGTTGCAGCCCATCCAGAGGGTGCCCTTCTTATGCTCAGAGCTTTGAAAACGAACCGCAGAATCCAGCCACGACCTTCCAGTTTGCTGAGGAGACTTTATGATCTGATTTTAGGTATTCTTAAGAGACCATTCTCAGCTCAGATGTTGTTGTCCCAGGTGGTTTCTTTCCTCTTTAAAGACTTTCCCATGTGATTCTTCCTCCCCAACCCTTGCCCTAATACTTCAATGCAGTGACCTGGTTCTTCCAGGATCTTTGTGAGAAGAGAGGAAAAGAAAGAACCTTTCTTGTTTAGGGTAAGAGCAAGAAAAAAATGGCTCAGAGCTGGGAGTGACATCAAGACTGACAATGTTGAATTTCACCCTAATTCAGTCCTGGAAAGGAGTGAACATTAAAGAAATCCCCCCATCCTTTGTGTTCCAGAAAATAGTCCACTGCAAAGAACCCCACTTCCCCCACTTATCTTAGATACAACTCATGGATGCCCCCTTGTTTACCTATGACTAGGCCAGACACTCATAAATGATTAGCTGAACTACTTGTTACAACTGGTTAATCAGAACATAATTCTCCCTACCCAAATGTGTGACATTTCTCTCCTTCCCTCTTCCTCGAACCTGGTTTGAAGCGCCTTCTGCCTGAGCCAGCAATACAACTGCTCATTTAGGACCCACCCCCGCCACGAAGAGCCGACCTCTCTGATCTCACCAGCTCCCCCTTATCCCATTTTTCCAAGCCTGGTTGTTTCTAGCCTTATTTATTCCTGTCTATAAAAGAAAAATCCCTTTCTGCCTGTTGTTACAGACATTTGCAGATCTCAGGATCAGAACGTTATTACTATTACAACGGTTCCCTTCCCCAAATCATACCACTGATTAGCATCTTAGGCCAAGGTAAATGCCCAGACATTGCTTTCCTAACAAGTCCGTCTCTCTCATCCTCTCTTCTCTCTCGTCTCTCTGTCTCTCATACACACACACACGCACACACACACACACACACACTCTCTCTCTCTGTCTTTCTGTCTCTCATACACACACACACACACACACACTCTCTCTCTCTCTCTCTCTCGTCTCTCTGTCTCTCATACACACACACACTCTCTCTCTCTCTCTCTCTCTCTCTCTCTCTCTGTCTCTCACTCTTCCAAAAAAAACTACAATATTGCAATTTATGTTTCTCTGATTAAAAAAAAAACAGATGTGGTGATTGGTGAGCTACTAAAAAACAAATTTTTCTTTATAGTTGAATTTCTATCTGTCTTTATCTTCCCTCATTGCCTGGCAATTCCAAACCCCTTATTGAGATTTCTGTTTGGCATAGATGTGTCTTTCAAAACCCATTGGTAAAGCCAGTTAGTTTAACTCGGAGGGAAAACAAGCTTAGAAAATGTAAGCAATCCTTGTTTTAATTGTTTCTTTTCCCTCTCAGTAAACAGAGTATGCATTTGCTAAAAAATGTCAAACTGTCATATTTGACTGAATAAACTATAAGGATTTTAGATAGACTAAATAATGTTAATTCTAAGCTGGTCTTGTTGTGATATTTTCTTTTCTTATGGGGGATGATTCAGTCATGTATTTTAAGTTATAAACAGTATTTGTTTTTCATAGCATTCATTACTAGCCAGGGCCTATGTCGACTTTCAAGGTTTAAGTCTTTTCAAATGAAATTTAAAGGACCACTATTCTTTCCTATCAGAGTAAAACACATTCTAAATCCTAATAAATCTATTCCTTTAATATGCCACTTGAAGTACAATAGTGCAAACAAAAACACATAATGGGTTCCTCTTGAGAGAAAGGAAAATGTATTCACTTCTGATGAAAGATCTTTTGATAATTCACTCTTGGCTTCACTACTTGATTTATATCATCTTCCCACATTAATTTGTTTTTAATTTTTTTCTGCCTTCTAAGGTTTTTCTCATTTCAGTGACATATACGTGACAGATGAGGTTGATGAACTACAGAAATACAGATTCTAACTCAGATGAAAAGCTTAAATTATTCTGCAGTCCCATTGAATTCAAGAAAGAAACTGAGAAGTCGGGATTTCCAAGGGCTTTGAAACAAATTTTCGAAACAAGTGATGAAATCAACAACGGTCAAAGAAACATGAAAACATGGTATGTTTCTTTAGCCAATACTGCATGCCTCCCTGGAGTGAATTTTTCCCATCTTCAGGCAATTTAGTTGTATACACTGGAAGTGATGGTAAAACTACAGAAGCACAGTAAAATTCATTCATTATTATAGATTTTAATTTAAAAATTTTTCCTTTTTACAAAATTTATTTTAATATAGGAAAAAGTAACTTATTTAACTATCTTCAGCTAAGGAGGGAAGCAGAATAGATGACAATGCCTCAAGGTGAAACTCATTGTTTTTAAAAGTAATACCTAATACCTTTACAAGTACAGCTTATGCAGGTTCATATAGAAGTTCAATTATTTCCATCCTGTTCTGTTCTTCACCAGTCAAGTTAGAAGCTGCTTATTGGATCATTTTTCTTTCCTCTGTCTCAGTAACAGGCAATATGTTTTAGTGATCTTCTTCATGATTAGATTGCATTAATGTATTTTATGTATCTCCTCAATTGTCCTTAATTTCAACCTACAGCCATTGAAAAGATGATTGATTAGAGGATACGGCTCTGTTTAGAATTCTGGCATCCCACCTCTGCCTTCTGGAGTAAGAGTCATTGCGTATCAGCTTCATTCTCTTTGACATGGAATTATGATGGATATGAAATAGAATCATGTATTTAAAGCATCTAATGCTTGGGAAACATTCATTCCTTCATTCATTTATTCTACATTTAGTACTTAGTTGAGGATGATGTATTCTATTTATTCAAATTTTTAAATTTATTCCCCAAAGAGCATACTAGGAAAGTATTTGTCTTGTTTCTGGAGTAAGTTCAACTCATAAAATAGGAAACCAGCGTAATTCATTTTTTTTTTCTTAAAAATGCATTTTTTTCTTATGCTTTCCCTTGCATATACTTCAAAGCCACTTTATTCTGTTCCATTACTGAGGGTGGAGTATGGGGAGAGAAGTAAATTCTTTAGGAATATACAGGAAAAGGAATAAAATCCTCAGGAACAAACCAGTTTAGTTAACTTATTACATAACATTCCTGGCATAATCCTTGTGTTCAGAGCTCTGAACTAGAAGCTTTTGGCTTATTTGCTTAAATTAAAGGAACTTTAAACAGCATCTACAGCAAGATATGGTAAAGGCTATTCTATTAATAACATCCTCTCAGCCTTATCATGGGTGTCTCTATCATGCAGAAGTCACCTGGTTATTACAGCTTACCAGTGGGATATTCCGTACAATCTGTGACATTATGTAATGTCTTCAAAATGGATGCTTGTGACTGGATATGACCACTTAATTCTTAAAATTTAATTTCTACATGGACTCATGTTTTCAAAGCTATCATATAAGTACTTTAAACTACAGCATTCCCTAGCAACCCACCTACACAGATGACTTATTTAGATGTGTTCTATGAAATTGGATGGGAGGAGATTTCTTGAGAAGCCTTTTTTTTCCCTCTATTTTGTTTTTAGTCACTGAGAACTGATATTTTTTTCCCACTGATAAATGGCCTAATAATTAATGATTATCAGTGTGAATTTTGGACGAAGATATTTACAGATAGTGTGTAAGTTTTATGCATCCATGCTTAAACAGACTATTTTAATAAGGGACACCCCCATGTTTTACTAAGAAGTTTGTTTTTTTTAAATCTGGTTCTAATATTCTTCGAACTTATTGCTTCATCATTTGCATTTTTGAAATTAAGAATTCATTTATGTGTCCTCATTATCAGGATTCTTTTTTCAAAGAAAATGTGATAATATATTGTCCAAAGTGGAATTTTATAGTTGTCATATTTATATTAAGTACTATTCGTACATTTTCATTAATCCCCATGACAACCTCGCAAACGTAACTATTATTTTATGGAACAAAAAATGTGAGTCAGAGTAGAACTTGCTCACCTCACACTACTAATCACAAGCAACACTGGAATTCTAACTCAGTAATCCTAATTCAAAGCCCAGTCTTGACCTTTATCTTATATCCCAATGCTGTGTGTATGTTGTACATACAGTTTCTGGCACAGACTTAGTCTCAAAAATTATTTGTTGAAAGATTAATGAATAGTAAGTATTTGATATATCAATATAGGTATATGTCTATTAAATTATTTCATTGCATGTTATATTTTTATATTTTCATAAAAACAAAGGCAAATTGCCAGACCTCATGCATGCTCGTCTTATGGTAGGAAGAATTCTTCAGAGAAGATTCACAAAGTAATAGAAGCAGCAGATGTGGGGTTTGGTGTTGTCCATTGCACCTTGGCTAGGACAGATATCTGACTTGGGAGAGAGATCTCAGCTCTTAACACTGTGTGATTTTTAAGATGCATGATTAAGAAGCGTTGATCCTCCCCCTGTCATGGTCAGGAGGCTGACCCTTATGGCTACAGCTATTTAGTGTATTAACTAATAGCATGACCTGCCACTCTGCTGCCTTAGTTTAATTTTGTTTAGTTTTAAGATGCATGATTAAAAAGCACTGATCCTCTCCCTGTCATGGTCAGGAGTCTGACTCTTATGGCTGCAGCTATTTGGTGTATTAACTAATGGCATGACCTACCACTTCTACTGCCTTAGTTTAGGGAGCACAAGGTCCTCTCCTAACTTAATCATGGACTAGAGTCCATCTGTGGTGCTACCCCAATGAGATCCCATAGATAGGCAATCTATCTTGATGTGGCAGAGGCAATCTATTCACCACTGTAGCATTCTGCCAACATTATTGCCTTAAGCACTTGTATATTTTAACTTTCATCAAAACTTGCAGAGAATGTTTGAATAAGTGCATGTATATTATTGTTTGTATAATTATTTTATTTTACATGTGTTCATAAAAGTTGCTGCTGCTAACATATCTCCTTGATAGAATATGTTTAATGCTTCTTTGAGTTCATTTTGCTTTTCTGTTTTCTTCTGCTTGGGGGAAAATATGTAATATTTCAAAGAAAAAAAGATGATTCATGAAGGAGAATAGCAATGATAATGATTATGAAGATAAGACTGAATAAGTATTGGAATTATCTCTATTTAATACTTTTTTTGCCAAGCAAGGTCTGATTTGCTAAGGAGAATGGATAGAACAGTCACCTACCTGGTATGATGTAAGAGATTCAAGGAAACTTCTTTGTTCCTCAAACGTTCCCTTTTCTATTGACTACGTTTTGTAAAATCCTAAAGTAAAAGATTGCTCTGTTTAATTAAAGGCTTAAAATGACAGTTCTCCTGGGAGAGCTCACAGTGAGCAACTGTCAATCCCTTTTGTGTGAAAGAATTTCTGAAAAGTTAATAAGAAAAGGAATTTAGAGGGGGCCACTGGCAAGGAGAGCCTCTATAAAGTTACTGCATAATAGAATGAGATGGTGAGGGCAGCCATTCGATGGAAAAATGTCATTGATGTCATTAAGGACACTGGCTCTTCAAAGATTTTTCTATTCCAAACGCTGCCCTAACCTCTGACTTATTGAGTGGCAGTCGCTTATTCTATTTTTAACGTTCACTCTACATATGTTCAACATCTGGATAATTATCAAAAAATTCAATCTGACTTCCAATACATTTGGGCATTTGGAAATAAATGGCTAGCAACTACTGTTGTTTTAAACTTTCTTGCAGACTGGAAAAAAATCATCATGTCAAATGATATTCCAAGATCACCCCGAGCAATTTAAATTAATCTATTTCAGAAAAGAGTAAACATTGAAATGATAAAATGAATAACTTTTTCTCTCAACTGAATATCATGGATGAAACTATGGAGCCATCTCACTCAGCTAAATTACATATGATTTTAGTGCTACTGTGTACCGCAGGGGAATATGAAGGCAGCATATGAATTGATTTATATTCTATTGTTTTTCATTCCATGGAGTCCAGCAGTAAATAAGCACTGTGATAAGATGTACATATTGTGCTACACTACGTTTTGCCTTTTCTTACTTGGTCTTAGGCTGCCTTCTCATTTTCTTTTTTTCTTTTTTTTTTTTTAGTACAAATGTGTTAATCGTTTGTTTGGATGTAACAAAAGTCATTCATAATTATCTAGTCAGTGCCTGGAGCAATCTTGGTGGATCCCATAAAATCCAAGGACAAGAAGTGCAGCCAGGCCCTGTAAGGGACTGAAATTGAGAGCACCCAAACAAGGCAATCAAGGCAACCCAGAAACCAACACAACCCACTTATCCCAATCTCTCCCTGCCTCTCTTGGTTCCACCTGACTTTTAATCCTCATTTCCTCAGCACTTGACTCTTCTGGAGGTGAGCTTTCACTGCTTGCCTTACAACCAAGCTGACTGGTAACCATGGTTGGTCCAGTCCTATTTTACAGGTTCTTTAGAGTTCAGCACTTGGAATCTGTTGGAACTTAAAATTCTTGAGAGAGTGAATCTGATTGGTCTAATCTAGGTTGGGGTTTCATGCATTTGTAATCTCATCCCCTCAACATCACGAGCCAATTTTTGAATGATCAAGGGATGTTCTGAGTTACCTCATGTTCAGACCTGTCCAAATATTTTGAAGTAAGAATATATTTGAATTGGTATGTGATCATTGTGGATATTTTCTTCCAAGCCAACAGTAGCAATCCTGATAATATTTATAGGTATATATTGCAGTTTCCTCAAAATAAGCAACCACTGCCTGGCTTTTAAAAGTTATGTTTAAATGACTTATTTTAGTGCCCAACATACGAAATCATGAGGTAAAACCTAAAAATTAAATCTCAGATATTTTTGTGGCACCAATTTGCTCCATTCTAATATTTCTAGCAGATTCAGTCAGGCCTCTTCAGTGTAAGAAAGGAATATTTTAAAAACACACAAAATTCCTATGTATAAGTTAAGATTGAGCCCAGTTATTACTGTGAAGCATATTCACTGTGCACTGGTTATCAAGTGGTCAGAGTCTGTTGAGACAAAACAGTCACATGCAAGTTCCATGAAGTGGGTTTATTACTTACAGATAGGCAGCAAAGATGACAGAAAGCTAAGACTCAAAAGCCACTCCCCCAAGGT